AAACTATTGATTTTCGAGACACAATTTAAATTCGAAAGTTTTACAATTTTTTTCCGCTCTGCAATATAGGGTCTTCAAATTTTCAATCGGACGTTTTGTGATCAAGCTACCATCATCAACTTCATTTTTTTAAATACGAACCTGGATTTTTTATGTCATTTTTAGGAAGCGCTGAAGGAGGCGCCCTTTATTTCCTTTTTAAAAATGACATAAAAAATCCAGGTCCGTATTTTAAAAATAAAGTTGATGATGGTAGCTGGATCACGAAACGTCGGATTTAAAATTTGAAGATTAATTATAAAACTTTCAAATTTAAATTGTGTCTCGAAAATCAATAGTTTTCAAAATAATTGATGAAATAGTTTTGGGCGTTTCTTATTAATTATGAAATACAATAAACTAAAAGGAATTTGGCAACACTGTAAACAATTCTTGAATGGGCATCAAAAAAGGCAAGTTTTTTCTAATTTAACCAATCTTGTAGCTCTTACCGTTTCAGATATAGCCATCGTGGTATCACTTAAAATATACACCCTGTATATGTTGATATTTGGTCCAGCTGTTTCTTCGTTATGTAAGTTTAAAATTGCATTAAGTGACCTTCACCATTGATATAAGGAATCGGGAACTGACCTAAGGGTAATGTTAATGCATTTTTATACTTAAATAGGGTAAAAACAGCTGAATCAAATATCAACATATATGGTATATTTGGTATCAGAAAAAGAAATCTCTCATTTTATTTAAAAATATACAGGGTGTTCCATTTGAAAAATGCAAGTGTTTGTAATCATGACAGTTAGCACCTGTCATTTGCTCGTTTTGACATGTGAAACAGATAGTAGAGATAATACCCTACAACTTTTGTATTTAATTTTTTTTTTTCAATTTTTTTTGTTTAAGTTGTAGAAGCTTGGGTCGATTCCCAAGAGACTCGTTTTTTTAATAAATTATATAAAGGATAAAGGATAGTTGACGCGTTCGGTAAAAATTTGACGTAATAATTGACAGCCCCAAGAAACGACTTAAGCTCTGTCACATTTGAGGGTAAAATCTGTTTTTTTTTTTTAAAGATAAAAGTCAAAATAACATTATGTTGGCAATACAATGTAAAATTGTCAGTGCTTTCAAATTTTTTATGTAGAAAAGGCTTGTGTTGCCAACATAGTTACTAAATTTTTGACTTGAGGAATTATATTAAAAAAAAAAAAAAACAGACTTTACTTTGGTTTTAACCACCGCCTCCACTCTTTCGTCCGTTTTATGCAAACCAAACCTGTCAATCAGATGACCCATGTAAGCCAATGATTCTTACATGAAACTACATTTTTCTTTCTTAAGCTGAAAACCGCATTCCGATAATTTTTTGAAAACTTGTTCAAAGCGCTCTAAATGCTCTAGAGGTCATTTATCCCTCTCACCAGAATATCATCCAAAAATGAAATAACTTCGGGAATATTAAATAATTGTTCCATAATTACTTGGAAAATAGATGGCGCACAGTGTATGCCAAAGGGTAGTCTTTGATATCCTTAAACCACCGTTATCCAACCAACCTTAAAATCACCACGTTTTTCTTTGATATTGGGACGATAGATGTTGCCCACTTTGAAGATTCTGTGGGGACCAATACCTTATTTTCAACTAACGCCGCCGCACTAATTATAAGGAACAGACCTTGTACAGGGTGGTTGATTTTCGATAGCTTTATAGGATGCAGCCAAAATGGCCGAAGATTCTGAGAAACTAATGTACGCTTCCCGTCCTCTTTTTTAGTGTGTCATTTGATGGTGTAGTCAGATCTTGGCCAACTAGATTGGTTTGCGAGGTACAGAGTGTTTTTCATAATCAGCTGTTATTTATAATCCTCTATAACTTCTTACCCTACGGAGATACAGAAAAAGTTCAAAAAGGAAAAATTCGTCTTTTATTACGTAGAATTCAGTGGCGTACTTGGAAAAAATATGGGGGCTTCATCTTCTGAGATATCCGAAAAAACAAAAATTTATCAAGTGGAACACCCTGTATCTTATTAGTTCAGTAGGTTGGGTAAAAAATTACGAGTTCAACAATATAATATAACACATGATATTTTGTTCCAGCCTAAATGGCAAAAAAAACAAACAACACTTTTTTCTACTACCAATAAAAATGTGTAAACAAATAAATTCAGACAAATACTTTACGCACTAGTGCGTGAAGTATTTTCAATTTTCGTACTAGTGCGTGAAGTAATTCACTAGAAAAATACTAAATTGACAGTGTCGACATTGACATTACTTTTACTGGTGTTAAAGTGAATTACTTTACGCACTAGTGAGTGCAGTGAAATTTTACAAAAAAATTGTATGCAATATGTGTGTAAAGCACACACTCATGTGATTGTGGTACTCACCTTCGGCTCGTGCGTCAAAATTCAGATTCGTGAAGAAAGGTTAACTTTACACACTATTTGCATAAATGGCTATTTTCAAATTGCTTATGCAATAAATTGTTTATTCTATGTTTTTGAAGTGATATATTTTAACTTTGGTTTTGATGTTGAACCTTTTCTAAAATAATAAATATTTGAAAAGTTTGTAAACAAAATATGTTGTTCGCGCATAGCTTAATGTCCAAACTAATTTTATTCGTATAAGTAGTTGATTTTAAATTTTGGCGCCATACAATTTCAAGTTTTATATGGCACGAGAAGATTCGATGCGCTTCCCAGAAATCAGCGCACCAACCAAATTAAGACAGAGATCCGAACTTGTCAGTCCCTAAAACCGATCCTTCGAAATTCAGTTAAAAATTCCGTTAGAAAATCAACCTCATAGTTTTAGAAGATATTTTAAACCTATTTTATGTGATTGTGTTCGTCGAAGAATTGGTAGACCATCCAGGTGCACCTGCAGGAAAAGAAAATATCGTTGGAAGAACACAAGTAAGTGCCTCCATTTTTTGTATGGCTCGGGTTCAAATATCATAGTTTTTATATTTCGGCAAAAATTTAGATGAATCAACGCGTTTACAGTCCCGCGGCTCTTAGGTAATATCGAAGATAAATCGAAATTCAACATCAAACGCACATATGTATTATGTAAGAATATTTGATACAATCATTTCTAATTGAAATATTATTTTTTTTATTTATGGTAGGTACTATTGTGTTATGTTGAAAATAAGTTACGTGAGAAAAATTTATACCACGAGGCCGCAGGCCGAGTGGTATAATTTCTCGAGTAACACGGAAAACATAACACACGAGTAGCATACCTACATTGTTTTATCTAACAACTGACAAATCATAACACACAAGCAGCATACAAGAACTGAAAAAACTAACAGGTATTTTTTGGGAATGAGCCTTCTTTGAAGCAGGATTCATAAATTTTTATTTCCTGACGTTTTGCGTTGACGTTATAAGAGAGTGAGTTATAAACCATAACCCACTAGTGAGTTATGGTTTATAACAAACTAGTGTGTTATTTGATAGTTGACCTGTCTAAATTGGTACAAATAATGATTCAACAAGTGTGTAGTAAAGAGAACCTTTTTTCACGAATGTGAATTTTGACGCACGAGCAGAAGGCGAGTACGACAATCACATGAGTGTATGTTTTACACACCTATTGAATACAATTTTTTTTCTACTACCTTGCGTAAATTATTCACTTTACGCACTATTCGAAAGATGTAAAATTTAAATTCTTGCACTAGTGCACTTTACACCAGTAAAAGTAATGTCTATGACAGAAGTCGACACTGTCAATTCAGTATTTTTCCAAACTTTGTTTTTACAAATTTTTATTGGTAGTAGAAAATAGTTATTTATGCAACAAGTGCGTAAAGTTTGTAAGTGTGTAAAGTGATTGTCGCACTCGCCTTCGGCTCGTGCGTCAAAATTCACATTCGTGAAAAAAGGTGCTTTACGCACGTATTGCATACAAAATTTTCTCTACTACCAATCAAATATGTGTAAAAAAATAAATTTAGACAAATTCATGACGCACTAGTGCGTAAAGTATTTTCACTTTACGCACTAGTGCGTGAAGTAATTTACCAGAAAAATAGTGATTTGACAATTCGACATCTGTCATTGACATTACTTTACGCACTAGTGTGTGAAGTGAACTACTTTACGCACTAGCGCGTGAAGAGAAATTTTACCTCTTCTGAATAGTGCGTAAAGTGAGTACTTTACGCACGGTAGTAAAAAAAAGTGTTTTTTGTTATTTTTGACATTTAGGTCAAAGCAGAATGTCATGTGTTATATATTGTTGAATTCGCAATTTTTTTTCCGAACTACTGAATCAATAAGATAGAGGGTGTTCCATTTGAAAAATCTTTGTTTTTTCGAATATCTCAGAAGATATGGCCCCCATATTTTTTCTAAGTATGTCACTAGATTCTACGTAAAAAAAGACGTATGTTTTTCTGTATCTCTGTAGGGTAAAAAGATATAGGGAATTATAAAAAACAGCTAATTTTGAAAAACACCCTGTACCTCGCAAACCAATCTAGTTGGCCAAGATCTGACTACACCATCAGATGACACACTAAAAAAGAGGACGGGAAGCGTGAATCAGTTTCTCAGAATCTTCGGTCATTTTGGCTGTACCCTATAAAACTATCGGAAATCAACCACCCTGTACTTAAAATTAATTCTGATTAAGTTTTTACTAAGCCGGCTTTCAATTTGACAAAATATACAGGCTGTTTCATTTAAAATAAGGAATTAATTTTACTTTAGAAGATCGCATGTCTGCAATCTTAGAATTTGGAACACTGGGACAAAAAAACAACCACATTTTTCCATTATGCTTCAAACAATCAGCTTTTTGACTTTGAGTAAACAAATGATTGATTCGAATTTTCATTGCTAATTTCACAAATTCCGCCATTGTTTGAAGCTAAATCAAAAGTATATTAGTACGGCGATTAAGGAAAAACAAAACTAAAGTGCAACACCAAACAATTCTAAAACACCAATAGTTAGACATAATTGATAAACTTACCCCGTATCCGGCCATCGGTCCAATCCCGTGTCCCAAGTACGGATCCGCGTAGTCTCTGCCGTATCCGACTGCCGCGTATCCGGCGACCGGTTGAGCCGCTGCGGCTGCCGCTGCGTTGTAGCGCGCCGCTACCGCCGTGTACGTCGCCGCTGCTGCGTAGCTGGCCTGCGGAGCAGTCGACAGGGGCGTTTTTAATAAAGGCGCTGATGCTGCTGCGGCCGCGGCCGCCGCCTAAAACAATACAGGCCATGCAACAGCCATGCACATCTAAGCCTCGATCCACATTGGTACGTGACAATAGCGGATGATTCATTTTAACTTTACTGCCAGCTGTTGTTATTGTTTATAGACAACTAAGTCATATTTCAAAATAGTTGTATAAAAATGTGTAAATTTGTCCCGCAACCTTATACGGACATATGTGATCATGTATCGTATCCATATGTGGATCAAGGCTAAAGCGCCATCTAGACATTTATAGATTTTGTCTTTTCAACATCCAGGCTGTGCACAGTTATGTTTGTTTGGGGTTAAATGGGGGTGTACGGCTTGGCTATTGATACTTATTATGTATTATATTATTGTTGAGAGACATATGTTAATATGTTATATGAATATGTCAGTTATGTTCTGTATTTTTTTTTTTTAATTTATATATATTTTTTTTTTAGTTTATTAAAGCCTGTATCCTGTATTCCAGAAATTTTGAAGTTTTCCTTTACTTCAATTTATTAAATATATTAACTAAATGGATGAGTATAAGTAACTCAAACCAGAAAGACTGCATATAGAAGTCAACTCTAGTAAAAGAAACCTAAAGAATTTTATTTTATTTTTTTTATTTTCAACATTGGAAATGTTTATGTTCCCGCGTATATGCGGGGATCAAATTCGAAGTGTTTGTTCAAGGTCAAACGACGACGGTGTCGCCAGGGGCGTGCGGTGAAATTTGAAGTATAAGGCGAAGCGTATGTCGCAGTGCTTACTGCAGCGCGCGACAAAGGTTATATCATTATCTGGGCGATCAAAAATTAAATGGGGATAATGGGACAAAAATCATAGCGTTTATGTTTTTTCTATTGGATGGGGATTTCAATAAAATAATAGATATTTACAATATAAGTGAGTTAATAGTATACTTAAGTGTGGAAGTTGCACTCACTGACGTAAATAAATATATGTATATTATGTGTTAAATAGGTTCCATAATAATGGTATTATCATTTCCAATGTCTCCGATGGTTGCGAAGATTGCGAAATTTGTGAATTTCATGAGACACCTTCAAGAAGGAATCCAGACGAAGGAGTTGTAAAAAATATAACCGACTGAACAACAAAGATTATGAAACTGATCAAGGATGAATGTTAATATTATACATCTACAGAAAATTTTAAATGTTCTGTACTTTATACTTTTGTTAGTTTTATTATTTGTCAACCTTGTCGAACAGTCATTCAGTATGCCGGTGTTGGTTAAAATATTCTATATATTTATATTTATTTTTTTATTTTTTTACATATTTGTATAATAATCTCAATAATAATTTCAGTAAATTATTGTTAGGGTGATGATCGAAAAAATCAAGAAAAGAAAAGTGAAACATATTATTATTAGATTGATAATAATCAAGAAAGAAGACAAAAATAAGAGACAAAAATAAGTTTTAAGCAAAAATAGCACATTACTAATATTTACATTGAGCTAGACATATATACAAAGACAACAAAAAATCGGGTGAAGTGAAGTAAACGAACATTAATAAGTGAGTATTTCAAGCTTAAAGTAGTAGAACTTTGTTCCCCTCAATACTCGAAAATGGACGTGTCTCGTAGAGATAGAAAAAGAGAGCTTAATTGTAATAAATACAAGTTTGAAAGTAATAAAAAATGACATGCGCGCGCAACTCGTGGCTGCAGTGTAGCCAGATTGTATTGTTGCAGAACAAATGTGGACAATACAAATCGAACACTAAAGAAGTGATATATTGTCAAGTGTTTTACAACGCCTTAAATCAGATAAAATAAGAGCTTTAAAGTGTATGTGAACATCGATGGCACTTTTATTTTTATAAATGTTTCATCCGGCAATATCGCACAATGAAAATATGTCAAGTATAATTTAACATAACCTTAAACGACAGTGGGATAAGTTCAAGTAATACGTAAAGTACTAGTTTGCTCTTTGTCGAATTATACGTTACAAAGAAAGAAAAAACGATTAATTCTGAACTCGTCCCTGAATACGAATATGACACAAACCCGTAACAAACTCGATTTTTATTGGACGCTCACCTGCAACCCACGAGTTGCGCGCGCACACCAGGTATTACGAGTCACGACAATTATGTACGATTTCTGTGTGACAGTTTTGTTTGGTATTCAAGTTTTTCAACATTAGGTTAAGACTATATACGCCTGACGTAGATACAATTTGTCGTAATAGTAAAATAATTAATTATTTTTGCAAATTGATGCAAATTTTCATCAAATTTCGTAGAATATTTTAATACTATTCACTCAGGGGAGGATTAATATGCGTCTTAAGATGAAACGAAGAAAATTTCAAAATCTCACCTGAAGTCGTGATGTGTAATTTGGATCGGCAGCGTGCGCCGCCAAAAATGGATCGTAATAAACTCCTCCCTCTACCGGAAGGGTGTTTAGTACCGGCGTGTACCCTAAAGCACCTGAAAACAAAAAGAAAAATCAGTATTTTATTTATAAATGGAATTTGAGAGATGGTAATTAGATTCAATTCAAATACTCAGTCCACTAAATCTGAAATTGAAAATTTGTACTCAGTAAGGACAACTCCGGGTTGGTTTTAACTCCAGAAGTGTGTCCAGTTGCTATGTTTACCCTGGGGTTATGCTTAACCCAAGGGTGACTTGCTATTGAGAAACCGGCCCTCAGTATAAAAAAGCTGTACGATAAAAACAAAGAGATGCCTGGAGGACTTACTGCAACGAAAAAGAAAACTATACGGAAGCGGAAAGACATTTTTTTGAAAATCATTTATTTCCTTCAAACAATTTATAAATTACAATTTTATAAGTTTCCTTAATCAGTATATAAAAATACTGGTCACAAGAAAAACAAGCTAATCTAAATATACTAAATATACAGTGGTTTTTTTTTAAATATTATTTCTCAATAATAACTTCCATCAAATACAGAAGTTCAACAAAACTAGGTTGTATTATATAATAAACATCCAAAAGACAACAATAACATACCCACTCCATAACACACTAGTGTAAAATTATTAAAAAAAAATAATAACAATAATGAGAAGAAAAAAATAATAATAATAATAATAATAACAATCAACAACTGATCTATGAAAAACACTTAATTCAACTAGTATAATATGTAGGTATATGCATTCTATTAGATTTCGTAGAAGTACAGTACAACAAACTATATGGGCAATTAAACTAATATCTATTTTATATGTTCTTTAAGTCGTTTTGTAAACAGCTGCAGGGTAGGTATATTTTTAATATTATTGGGTAAATCATTAAATGTTCTAGATATAGATCCTTCAGAAGGTTCTTAACAAAGACCCATTTCGGGAAATCGGTATCATGTAAAGGAGGATGACACCTTTACTGCCAAAAATTTAATGATGTTATCCAAGGCAAAATGCTGGTAGAAATCATGGAAAAGGTAATAGATAGAAGACGAGCAAATTTAACAAAAAAAAAAACACACACACATGAAGATGATATTGTTTTCTTGTCAGACGTTTTAAGCTCTGGACAATTGAAAATAAAATTCCGTGACTCAAAAAACAACTTTGTATTGAACATCTAGTCATTCAAACGCAATTTGAAAATTGGATATGAAGACATGAAGACCAAAATTGACTTCATTCTACAGAGGAATTCAAACACAAACCTACTACAAAATATTTTGGAAGTACGGCCAATTTGTTAGGCTGCAAACTGGGCAACCTAATTAATTAATTAATACAGAAAAAGGTGGCTGAGGTACTCCAATAACCAAAATCGAGCAAATGGAGCTTCGTTTTTAGGGTGTCCGACTAACTCACACAGCGGAGAGTGGAGTGGGTAAACATCAAAAAGGCGCCACCTATTTTACTACCCTGCAGTCAAACGAAGCTACCGATTATAAGCTAAAAACAGGAAACACTCAATCCTAATTGGAAGTACTGCAAAAAACCTAAATATGCATAAAATAAAATGAAAGCGCTTAAAAATTCACTCCGGTGCATGATTTTTATTTGCCCAAAATAGTTATTTATAATGTTTAGTGTAAATGGCAGCAAACAGCTGATAAGCACCAAAATTGAATTGTTTATTTAATAGCTTTTAAAAATAATAAAGAATCTATCAGTAAACTTAAATTACTGTGATAAAATTGGCCATAATTACAACGCATAACCAATATAAAAACTAAAATAAGTAAGTACCTACCTACTACTTAGTTACAGTAGTTAGGTGAATTAAATGTGTAATCTACAATATTCCAACCAAAAGGGTGGTATTTGAAGTGTGCAAACCTTACCTTACATTCTGGTTCATTATGGTGATCAAAAGTTATAATTAATTTCCAAAATTAATTCATTCATTAAGTTCAAATAAATGAAGGGTGATAATTAAGTACGGTTCTCACCCTTTGAATCAATACCAAAATACTAAAAATGCCGTCGTGAATGGATCCATTTTAACCTGGTGTACAGTTAGACCTATGTATTTACACTAATTTGGCCTACTTGGAATGTTCCAGGAAATCAAAATAAAATGGTAAGTAAACGTAAAATTAACTTAACTTAAACCTAAACGATTATAAGGTAATTTTTAAGACAGGTAGAGGTAATTCAGCTGGCTATAATATTGAAGAGTAGGTACAAGTGGTTGCAGGTAAAAGGCTCCAACTCCCAAGGAGATGGTGAAACCCTTAATACAGACGGGGTGGATGGTTCCCAAAATGGCACAACAATACGCAAACCTGATTATGTAGTTAGTTGATGGAATGATACTACTAGGAACCTCGTGGGGGACGATTGAGATTCACAGGCCCCAAAAGCTCCACAAGCAATCTATCAGGTTCAGGATTGAGCATCAGCAATTCAGCAATCAGGTGCCTTTGTGCATCAAACGACAGCAACAGCAGAAAGGGATGTAACGTTACCCAGTATAAAAGAAAAGGCCTAAAAGAGAGAGTTCACACTATAAAAATTCGATTTCAACAACAATTGAGGTAAGTACGGCAATCAATTACGTTTTTGAGGACATAAAACTTTAACGAGGATCAGAATACTAAATAAAATGATGGATAATAGGGACTTACCAATGTGGATTGGCCTTTTCGACACTCAACACGTGACACGAATCAAACTTATTTTCGAGAATTTGGGTTTTTTCGTACTGAAATCTTAAATTAGCAAATACTTGCTGTAGTGCTATTTAAAAATAATAGCCACCGTTTAAGACTCAATTTACTTCCCAAATATTGGCAAAATGCCTCAGAAGAAATAAACGTGCTTCTCTTCTGAGTGATTCTAGAAAAAGAAAAATTCCTTCAACAGTAAAATTTCTGGTTACACGAATCGAGTTCTAGGGAATTTTTCGTTTATTTTTTGACAGTTTTAATTAATGCATATTGCGCATGCAAATACTCAATATTCAAATTTTCGTGCCACAATTATTGACTTAAGTTCATTGTCGGATTTAAACAATTTCCTAACCCTACTATCACCTACTATTATTTGTTTACTTTTCCCATTCGAATCCTAATCTAAATTTTCTTATTATTTTAGGCTGGAAACCTGTTGTTTTCCAAGTTGCACAATGGAAACCTCTACAAAAATATGGAAAACAAATGCTGATTTACCTGATTCCTAGAACAGAGAACAAAATAGTGAAAACTCAAAAAGATGGTAATTATTTTGCTTTATACGATATTATCTTATCTCAAATCAATCTTATTTTCAGAGATCGCCAGAAGCTGTGGATATCTTCATGGAGAATAATTATTGTAACTGTTATGTGAAATATATATTAAAGATTTTATACTAGTAGTTCCTTTTTTTTTTCCAAAGGCAGCAAAAATATGTCGTAACTTGATTGACTGAAAATTCGACACGAATTACGTCGATCACCGAAAAAAGTCTGTTTTTAAAAAGTTTTATTTTTAATAGTTACAAGCTATCTCGAGAGCAAAACAATATGGAATGAATATTAATCTTAAACTAAGGTACATTTATATTTTAATTAGTGCTGAGCTGGTCCACGTGCCGGCGATGGGAAAGATCTTGCGTCGGCAGGTTTCACGGGATTCGGGATGGGTATACTTTGTGGCTACAATGTAACTCACGTAACAATATGTTAATAATACATATTTCTAATAACAACATTTCTATCATTAGACCAAATCATTTAGGGTGGGAAGCAAACATGTAATATTTCATGTTTGATATATTATGAGAAATGATCCTCAGTGCCTTTACATTGATGAATGAGATTAAGACAAATTCAAGACAATTCCAAATCAATAAAAAGTTTACCTGCTAGAGGTGTGGGATGCCTGGCGAAGGCGGCGGCTGCCGCTGCAGCCGCCGCCGGGTAAGCCGCCCTCGCTCTGCCCCTTTGTATTGCCGCCACGCCGGCTCTGAGGGTAGCTGCGTCGGTTGACCACTGGATCACAGGAACTAGAAAGCAGCAATAATAATTAATGTTGTAAAAAGGTCGAATTCTGCAAGGGATGGTTTCTTAATCTCCAGTTAAAGCAAGCAATTAAAGTGTCTGAGGATGAAGAAACTTGTACAGTAGACGCGTTTAATGATCAAGTGTCTGTTAGACTTACCAGACGGAAGTGTTGGTGGTTTTTTGGTTTGTACTCTAGCTGTCGCATTATTTACCTATATTCATAAAAAAAAAACAAACAATTAATAAGTGTCCTCAATCATTCTAATATAACCACTTGTTTTTTTTTTTTAGCATTGACTGTAGATTTTCCTAAAGACGAAAAACAAAAACAAGTGCTTATATTAGAGGGCAAAAATCTGTTTCATTCAGTTTTGAAATTAACAGATCTTGCCAGTTTTCCTAAATAATTCACAACATATTTATATTAATATTAAAATCAGGCAAAAGATAAATTGGCGCAATTTACCAAATTATTTAACGAGAAGTTGTAATTTTTCATTGAAAGCGATATTCCGATAATCGCCAAGAATGTAAAGTTGTCGCAACATTTTGGAGTTTTGCCAAACCAGCTATTTTGCCTAATTTCAATTTACAAAAGTGATATCTGCCGCTTCAATAATATTTTTTTAATTGAAAACAATAATTAAGTTTTTGAACTAATAATTGAAAAAATATTATTTTATTTAGTAATATTCCAAATTTTTGAAATTGAAAATTAATTTGAATTTAGTATGAAATTTTTGCTCTGAACATTAAATGGAAATTCAATTTTGAAGTTTACTGCAACTAAAATAAATTTGGGTCAATAATAAACAATACTGAATAATTTGGAATGTTACCTTGGCAGAAAATGTTTAACTAATCGGCATTTCTTTTCAACAGCAAAAAAAAAACTTTGATGTAATGTCTTGATAGAATTTCTCCCTTAAAACAGTCAAAATCAAAACTTTGTTTACAGAAGAATTGATCTTGGCAACAAAAGCACAGTGAGAGAAAAATATGATTCTCTATTTTCCTCAATGAAAAATGTGTTGACATGTTGTGTGACTGAATAATTTGGCGGTGATGATTAAAAAAATTATAATGGTATTTATGGCTTAAAAATAAGAACAGTAAACAAAGTTTTATATATTTTTTTTTTTTGTAGGTAGGTATATCATTAAATAAGGATTTTGTATTTGTTTTTTATATAATAATAATTGTTGAAATAAAATAATTAATAAATGAGTCCTTATTGGTTACATTTCAATGTTGAATAATAATGTGTGGCCCAAAAAATTAAAGTAGAATGAAATTGAAGAAATGTCGATTAATTAAACCATTTGACTTATCATTTTCAAAACTTAAAACTAATTATTCTAAACGTTCCACCAAAAAGCCTTTAACATTCATTGATTTTCAGGCAATAAGTAAAGTCTGAGTTCTGAATCTGCAAATTATGACAAACAATCGTAACCTATAGAGCCAGTACAATAATAGAAGGAAATTAAAATAGAACCTGCCAATCAATGAAGATTCTATAAAACTCCTACGTTCCATTTCCCTACGATTTAGAATTTTTTGAAACATGACCAGAAGACCTCACTCAGAAAAATGACGGTTTCAAAAAGTCAATATTGTTTCTCTGCGATCATTTTTGAGTCACTTTGAAACGAAAATACACTGCTGTCCAATTCGATTTATGAAATAGTGTTAAAAGAGACGGAATTGATTGTTTTTTGTTTTATTATAAAAATTAAATTTCCCAATAAAAACACCTTGGGTCCTGATGGGATTCCAAATTGTTTTTTGAAACATTGTTTATGCACTCTTGTGGTTCCTTTGTATATGTTATTTAACATGTCAACGTTTCGAGACCTTTGGAAGGATAGTTTCATTGTTCCTATTTTCAAGAGCGGTGACGGGCACAAGTACCTGATTATAGGAGTGTATGCATACAATCATTGATTCCCAAACTTTTTGACAGTCTCGTCAGTGATCAGTTAAAATGGATGTGTTCCAGGTTAATTAATAAAAATCAGCATGGGTTCTGTGCTGGTCGTTCAACGGTAACCATCCTAATCACATATCATAATAAAATAACTAAAGCCTTGGAAGAGTTTAAGCAAGTTGATTCAATATATTATACTGATTTTTCCAAGGCGTTTGATAGAGTGAATCACAATACTTTCCTTAATAAATTACATGATATGGGCTTCAGTGCGGCGACTGTTGGTTGGACAAGGAGTTTTTTGTCTGATCACAAGCAGAAGATGAAAATAGGGTCTTTTCAGTCTGATGCAATTTTGGCGTTCCTCAAGGACGGCATTGCACTCCATTTTTGATTTGTTTATTGATTCAATTTTTGATTGCTTTCAAAACAGTGAGGGTCTCGCTTTTGCTGACGATTTCAAGGCTTTTAGAATAATTGACGACTTGTCCGACCAACAGCTCCTGCAGGAGGACCTGGACAGGTTGAACGATTGGTGCAGTACAAACAAACTGTTTCTGAATAATTCAAAATGTTGTCAAATTAGTTTTTATAAGAACAAAAGAAAATATCATACTTTTTATTCAATCAATGGGAAATATGTGAAAAAAATCAAACACTTGAGGGTTATTTTTGATGAAGGCCTAACTTCCGTTGATCACATAAACACAGCTACAGTACAGGCTTCTAAGATGTTGGGTTTTATTTTGAGAAACTGTAACAGTTTCTTTGTTGATACTGTTAGAAATGTTTATTGTGCATTAGTGAGGTCGAAACTAGAGTACGGTGCAGTTGTTTGGTTTCTGTACCATGCAATCCACAGTTACACAGTGGAGAAGGTTCAGCATAGGTTTTTTTGTTTCTGTGCATTTAAACTAGGAATAGTGATCGATAATCACAATTATGTTAGGCTAGAAAATCATCTTAACCTCCGGACTCTATCAGATCGGAGAGATTTTGCAGGGCTTACTTGGTATTGTCAACAGTACAATTGATTGTTCTGATTTATTAGGTGAAATAAATGTTGAGATAGTTACTAGAAATAGAAGACACAATGTCAGATTCTTTTATATTCCTAATTATTATGGTTTTAATATGCTTATGGATAGACGCTGTAGAGTTGTTAATGACCATCACGTTGAAATATTTGGTATATCTTTAAGAGAATTTAAAAAGCAATTTAATGGTGTGCTTTTTAGGTTTTGGTTGTGGTTTTGCTTACTATATTTAATAGGCTAGTATTAAGAGGTGTTGTTTTGATTAGTTTAGAAACAGTTCCTGTAACTTCCAACAAATCAACTTGTATTATACATAAGTTTTCTAAAAGAGGATTTTATTCCTTATAGATCCTCCGAAAACGAACTTAGTTGGAGAATTAAGCTTCAAAGTTAAAACTTTTCTAAAAATATCTATTAGAAAAAGCATCAAATCATTTAATGAAAGTTACAATTTCAAAAAAATGTTGCTCAATAACTCTCATGGTTATTGAGACAGAAAATTAGAGATTTTGAACAAAATATCCAGATTTTCAGTGAAAATTCAAATTTTTATTCGATAAGAAGCACGACAGCTCTCTTACTGAATTCATTTGAAAATGTAGGTATCTGCAGAGAATCCTTAAAAATCTAGAACTTGACGACGTAATCAACTATATGGAAATCGAGCCCCAAAGACTTTTCAGATTTTTAGAAGGATCTTTTCTTTATCTCATACATATTAATGTCTGACATGTTTTATACAGAATTTTTCATGATATCCGAAAATGATGGTGCCGCAGTTCACCTTCATCACTCATTTTTTCTTTTATGGCTTTTTTGTCATTTTACCTGACACATAGGGTACAATTTCTAAGCTCTAGATTATTGAATTTGTTGACACATCACCACATCTACAAAGACTTTAATGGTGTAGATGAATTAAATCACCTGATAATCGAATTTAGGTTGAAAGGCTTTTCGGTGTAGCGTTTTCTGGGGGGAGTATTTTGTGGCATGGAGCGCCGCCAGGGCCCCCGCCCGATCCGGAGGCGGTGGCGGCGCTCCCCTGGCCTTATCCACTTACCTCCTCGGCGGCCCGTGAGCGGGAGGGAGGGGGATCGGAACTACAACTGTTCGCGTCATCAGCGCAAGCCAATTAAATGGCCGACACGTTCTAAAGACAACGTACAGACATTGGAGAACCGATATTGATGTTCAAGTGACTTACAGTTTGATAATTTGAATAATTAACTGATAGTGTGTGCGGCAAAAGAACGTCAAAACAACACGTGTGAAGCGGGGAGGTGCTACCGGTTAGTCACTAAAGCCAGCAAGCCAGCCACACGGGGGGTTTTGACCTTGTTTTACCGGGGAGGGACGGGACAGGCCAGTGCTACACGTAGAGCTATAGTCATGCACACCTCTATTTTTCTTCCCTCAACCACGGTGCCGTGTAGTCGGTCTCGTGCGCGCTCCGCATCAGCACTATTTGCGAATGTTACAAAACCGAACCCCTGCATGCAGAGACAGACAAGACATGCATTATAAACAGCTCTTCAAACTCGTGCAATGACATGATGACGTTAGACATTAGACATGCCTCTGTCTAGAAGCCTCATTCCACACTCGCTCACTATCTCAGCTTTTTGAAGGGTTAGACTACGTTACACTGTTAAAGCTTTATAGGCGCCGATACGATGAGTTATTCAATTTTGTTTGATTTCGTATTTATTATTATTAACACAAAAACCAAAATAAAAAATAAAATTAAAAAAAACTAGTGCGTTTTAGTACAAAATTAGGAAAAGTTAAATCGAATTATAGTATTTGAAAAAAATGGTAAACGGAAATGATAACGGTATAAAATGCAGCCATCGTCACTTATTTGTTCTATATAAACTTGTAATAATTCAATCAAAAACGTTTTAAGTTTTGCAGTACTACTGCCTGGTGATTGCGATACTCACAACTGAAAATGCAAAACCATTATTCAGGGAAAAATATGCCTTACCAATAGACCACATCAAGCAACAATTTCATTTGCAATCTTTCGACACTGATTTCTCCATTTCTAGTATGACTCCTGAGACTTATTCTCAGCATCATTATTTTCATGTCTTTTTGAGTCTGTATTGTTAGTGAAGTAGTTTCCATGGCACAAGGGCAAAAATATTTCTGAATTCCTCGGAATTGTTTTCATCTTCCAAATCGCACTGACTGAAGCAGTAATCTATATTTTCAATTACCTTTGATTATATTTTTTTTTTTTTTTATTTATTTATTTATTTCAGACCTCAAAACAGTTTAGAATAAACTGAAACCGAGGCCTTAATATCAGTAATATAACATAACAGAAGTAAAATATAACATTTAACTAAGCACTTAAAAAATATATTAGATTTATAATCTGTTTGTTCTTAGGTATTCTTTAAGGTTATGACACATGTTCAGTACAGTCTTTGGTATTTTGTTATAGGCCTGTACGCATCTATAGATTGGAGAGTCTTGTTTTTTCTTTGTTCTGGCATAGGTATTTCTTAATCTTTGGTTATTTCTGGTATTGTAGTTGTAATATTGTCTATTTTCATTTAGTTCTATATTTGTTTTAAGCAATTTATTTTGTATAGCATAAATAAGTTTTGTTTGTTCTAGTATTTTAACTTTAAGCTCAGATATTTTTAGGCAAGGCAGACTTTTGTAAATTTCTTCACTAGGGACATAAAAGTTCATTCCAAATATTGTTTTAAGAGCCTTATTTTGAAGTCTCTGGAGCCTATTTATTTGTGCAATACTTGTATTTCCCCAACACGTTATCAAATACCTAAAATGTGGCTCTACAAAACTATTATAGAGCAGCTGTTTTGTTTTTTGGTTTAGTTGATGTGAACATCTTTTAATTACACCTATCATTGGCACTATTTTTCCTGTCACAGTTTCAATGTGCTTATCCCATGTTAGATGAGCAAGCCAATGTACTTATATTCACACACTCTTTTCAAAGCTACTTCATTTATGTTTATGTTTATTTGTAAGTTTAGGGGTGGTTTTCCTGTTAGTTTACTAACCATATATACTGTTTTTTTGCGCGTTCAACGAAAGTCTATTATAACACAGCCAACTAAAATATTGCTTTAAGTCACTATTTACAAGTTCGTCAAGTTGTATTGCACTGTCACTTGAGTAGACCAATACAGTGTCGTCTGCAAATTTAAAGTAGGTTGCTTTTAAGTTTGCATATTTCAAACTATGTATATACAGTAAATAAAGCAACTCCTACATTCAAGTTAAGTTGTGCACTACTCTCACTATTTATTGTTGTAAAGTGCTTTCTTCCAGTAGAGTAAGATTTTAGCAGGTTATAGCATGGTCCACGGAAACCCATTTTAAATAGTTTGCTCATCATTAACTCTATATTAACCGTGTCGAAGGCTTTTTGAAGGTCGACAAACATAGTTATGACATATTTGCTTTTGTCCAACTCAGTGGAAACATATTCCAACATATCCACTGCTACTCCTTGTGTGCTTCTTTTACATTGAAACCCATATTGCTGTTCATCAAACTTAAAATTTGTTTCAATGAAATTTATTAATCGGGTCTTGATAATTTTTTCTAACACTTTAGAAAAAGTACTGAGTAGTGAAATTGGCCTATAGTTATTTATGTTATCGTGCTCGCCTTTTTTGAATATTGGGATGATTTTAGCAATTTTCAAATCTTTTTTCAATATACCATCAATGCCTGGAGCACAGTTGTTTTTTAAGGTATTGATCGTTTCTTTCATTTCTGTAAGGGTTGTTGAATTATGCTTTCCTCAACTTCCTCCTCTTTGAAAAGAGTTTTTGAATTTTGTTTTATTTTGTCTGCTAAAGTATCTCCTATTTTGGAAAAATGCGTATTGAATTCTTTGTTATTTTTAACTAACTTTCCAGTAGAGTTGATTATTTGATGTATTTTTTTTATTTTTATTGGTATTACATATTTCATTTAGTACTGCCTAGGTCTTCTTTGAGTTGCCTGTTGCTTCATTAAACCGTCTTTCTGCATACTGTTTCTGCAGTTTTTTTCTAAGGTTGTTTAGTTGGTTTTTGGCCTTTTTAAACTCCGTTTCACAATATTCATTTTTAATTCGTTTCCACCTAATATACAGTGCGTCCTTCTCCTTGAGCTTAGATAGGTAATTGTTTGTTATCCAATAATTGTTTTGTTTCACTTTTATACTGTATTCTTTCGTGCATTCATTTTTTGAGGTATTTATGATTTCAGCTAGTTGTTGAAAAGTTGTTATTTGATGTTGTTTTATTTTTTCCTGCATATGATTTAGCCATTTATTTTCCATTAAAAAACTTCGTTTTACTTTTTCTTTTTTCTTTAAATATATTGCTTTTTTAATTTCTATGTACATAACTTTGTGGTCCGATATGTCACTGTCCTGTAGTTTAATAGTGCAGGCTAAATTTTGATTCGTTATTATATGGTCCAGGATAGATGCTGTATTGCTAGTCACCCTAGTTGCATTTTGTTGTAGCACTTCATTCTGGAACTTAAATCCATTCATTTGTATAATGTTTTGGTAGTTATTGATAGTTTGTGATTGCTTCAATAAATCTAAGTTCATGTCTCCTATTATTATGCACTCATTTTTTTGTTGTTCCAGTATTGTGTCAAGTTTGTTTGAGAAAAATTCACAGTTGCTATGTTGGGGTCTATATATAGCTATTACGAAGAGAGCTTTTGTTTTGGTAGGTAGAGGAATACGATATTGCAGTCTTCAATTTGTATTTTATGCTTGTTGCTTTGGACATAGTGTAGATCTTCACGTATGTAGATACTACATCCCCCACCACATGTATCTCTGCAATCATGTAGTGCAGTGTAGTTATTCAATTTAAAACAGTCTTTCTCGTTTGGGTAGATCCAAGTTTCTGTTAGGACTATCAAATGTATAATTTTTGTGTGTGCTAGTATAACATCACTAATATCATTTAGCAAGGGCGTCCATAGAACATTTTTCAGGGGGGGGGGGGCAAAAACTTGACTTATTTTTAGTTTTTAAATAATAGTAGATTATACCACGAGTCAATAATTATAGCTATTATTCCCTAGAAATATTTACGAACTGAGCCGCGTTAGCGACGAGGGAGTAATATTCCGAGGGAATAATAGCCATTATTGCAAGTAGTATACTTTACTTTATTTACGACAATAATGACCATTAATCCCTCGCGGGAATAATATATGGCATTATACTGCCAATATCACAAGTACAATACTTACATTATGTCAGTCGTAAATAAAACCATCTATTTAAAGTCCGTTGATGTTAATCTGATACTCCAAAAAAATGTGAGCTGGTGACTCCCTATGTTAAAACGTCAATGGTTACCTGACGTCACATCTGTTTTTATGTGGTTTCTGCCATGTGATTCACCCTCTCGCTCCTCATACGGAACGACGGCCAATAGGTAACCATACGTATATTACTGAATGTCGAATGAACATAAGCAGTCTAAACTGTACTCATTTGTAATGACGTCATTTTAAAAAATAAACACACATTGCACAGACAGAATGTCAATTTGACAATTATTATTTATTGTGTAAGCAACTTTTAGTATCTATTTTGCTATTCTGTTTTTTTATTCTTCTGGTAGCAATGGTAGCATCATGAAACAATAATAATCTCCAAGTCATGTGCCCCATTTGCCCCCCCCCCCCCCCCCCCCTATGGACGCCCCTGTCATTTAGTTTATTTCTAACGCTTCTTATATTGATATATAGAACATTTAATTTTTGCTCCATTTTTTCAGTCAAGTTTTCAGTCTCCATTTTAAATGAATAAATATTTTTTTCTCATTTACATTGTATTTACATATCTTTTATTTATAACTGCTCTATATCGTTCTCATTTTAATCCTTACTGGTCTGTCATTTTCATTTTTTTTGAGAAATACTTTTCCATTTAAGACATACGCTTTGTAATAATTCTTTTCCTTTTTTGTGTCCCTTACCCTTTTAAAAAGCATCTGATTCTGGCGCGTTAAGTCCTCATTAAAATATATGTTCTTTGGACCTCCGGTCAAGCCACATTCGTTCAGCTTAAGTCCCTTCAGTTGCCTTATTTTTGACATCAATTCGTGTTTTATTGTTGTGCTTTTGAGTTTTAGTAATATTGGCGCGCCTTCGTTTTTGTTTAATCGGAAAATTTCCTGGGCATCACCTTCATGTATAGGCACTTTTAGAGCTTTAAAGACCTTTTTAATTGTTTCGCTCACCAGTTCTTCTTGCTTTGGTATACCAGATATAACGATATTTTTCTCCTTTTCTCTCTGTTCAATTTCATTGATCCTTTCTTCCATTGAGTCTACCTTTTCCTTCAGTTCGTTATTTTCCTTCTTAAGGTGCTTGATTTCTTCAACTGTTGTTTGGATCTGTTTTTTTTTGTTCTTCAAAACTATCCGATAAAAACTGCATGGATTTTTTTATTTCACTTATTTCTTTCTGCATAGTATTT